TCCTATATCTAGTCCTTGCTATCACCCACTGCGTCCTCATCTCTTTCATTTCCTCCATTACCTCATCCCTTGTATATATCCCCCAAATTTTTACATTTTTTAACCAACACAGAACATCCCCCCTGTTGTGTTTCAGCAAGCCGAAGCCCATCACATGATCCATTTTCTACACTTAGCTCCTCAGCCTCACAATCCATTGGCCCAATCAAGCCCACATTACAAAGCCCATCATTCTCTAACCCATTTAATTCAAGAATTGGAACAAAATCCTATTTAAACACAATTTTGATTCTACTTCCGTTTCAGCATAATCCGCAGCCATAACTACTGCATCATCACCCACACTGTAACGGCCATTAGAATTATTGAAATCTGTATCTGACACTTCCAAACTCGTATCAGAGCTCCTCCATTCACCAGCTAGCCACCAGTCTGGATCCATAGGCCACTCCTCCTCCAACACCTTAATCAGAAAAGACTCCCCATCCACCATTAGAGTAATTGTCTTAGAAATTATCTTGTTATCATCACACAATACCAAGACCTGACCTTCACATAAAAATGATTTAGATTTTGTATCATCATCAACAAGTATTACTTCACCTATTAGACTTGCTAATTCCGAAAAACATCTCTCACTCCATGCTCGCAATGGAACACCGTTAAAATGGAGCTACACCAACCTAGTCCTCGATGACATGGTAGATAACGAAGTTGGCTGTATCCATTCAAACCAGGACTCCACTAAAACCTTGTTCTTATCGAGAAACTCCTCTAAGCAATCCTCTGTATTATCCATTAATAAAACATGTCTACCCCCTAACAAAGCAACAATCACCAGTAAACCATCCACATCCAGCCTATTTTGAATTTTCATCACCAAATCCAATGATCTAACCAGTGCCACTCTACTTGTACTTTTTATTCCTTCGGCACATAAGCCTTTGTAGTGGCATCATTTGCTATTGATGCAAAAGCCTGGTCAAGTATTGATACTGGTATCACCACCAACTCCTTCAACATTGCACCCTTCTTTTCCAACCCATCCACTTTCTTTTCCAACACTTTCTTCATTGCTGCTTGCCCCAAACCTTGGTTCGAGGAGTCCCCTTCATCAAATGCCATAATATTTCCAACAACAATCTGAGCATATGTTATCCCTAGACACACCTTTCTATCTCGTCTGACCCACTACATTGTTAACTGCTGTTGCTGTCATCCTTTTGACATCCCTTCCCTCCCTTTTTTCATGTTTTTTGCCAATTTCATCTTCAGGCAATACGAATCAAGCCAAATTTGATTCAACTTTCTTTCCATATCCTTGGTATCTGAAACCTCAAACATACAAACAAAACCAAAACGATGCCCTCTCCGATCTCTCCTTTTTGGAATATAGACATCAGCTACTTTCCTAAAAGACCAAAAACTATACCACAAATCCTTAGCAGAACGATTTGCTGAAAAATCATAGAAAAAGTATGCCGTTGCCTGCCCTATAAATTGCTTTCCATATCTTGGGAGCCGTCATCGGAAACCACTATCTTTGTCCCTGGCTGTCGGAAACCTGTCTTGAACCCTAACTCTCTTTCTCACCATCTCTTCAATTTCATTGAAACATTATCATCTGCTCATTTTCTTTAATTCCGCTGCAATTACATGTACAGCAACTTTTGTTCTGTGTATATCTATATGTAACATATATACTAGATGAGAACTAAATTTGCAGCACTGACTTTTGATACACGAGAGAATGGGGGGAGATGAGACAGAGTGAGCTACAGTGCAAGCCGTTTTCCAAAATCAAAACAGCTCAGCAATTGTCAACCCAGTAGAGAAGATACAGTGAGATTCTCTTTTCCTTTTGAAAATGCTACATCACCAGCAGCAGTACCCAGTCGACCCTTTGGAGAAGATATTGCTATCTCATCATCCTTAATCATGTTTAGAACCATTCCTGCAGTTGTACCCCTACCGGATTTTACTTGTGGAGGCAACAATCCATTTGAAACAGGTGGACTTGACCTCTGTGCCCCAGAAATTTGAAGGCGGAAGCAAGGGACCATTGGACTTCGAGGCCTTGAGAATGCAAAATCTATCACACCCTGTTAATAACAAGTATTTGTTACAATTCAGCTCACCAAACTCAAAGGGAAATTACTAGCAAAAACTAGAAAAAGTAGCTCGTAGATTCTAGTTAAGTGCACAACACTCACATTCAATCCATGGGCAATGAGGCAATCTTAAAGAGATCATAACTGGATATCAACTCAAGCACCGAGAAGCAGAAAGGAAGAGTACAAAACTGAAGTTTGTAAAACCAAGTAAGATAAAGAAAAATTTTACAAAAATTTAGTGCATTTGGGAATGGGATGAAAGTTTATGGAAACTATGCCACCTCATTGGAAGTGAATGTCCCACTGATTGGAAATCAAGAGATCAAACAACGGGACCTAAAATCTGTTCAACACCGAAAAGTACCAAACCACTTTATTTATCAAATATTTTTAAAATCAGACTATAATTAAAGCTCAGATTAGTTGAGCTATCGACTGAACACCGCAGAGCGGGGCGGTTTAGCGCGGTGGTTCGGCTGGTATAGTAACTAAATACACACACCAAAAAAAAAAAAAAATTCTGAACTATAAAATATTAACTGTTTGATTGGGGTTGGGTCTCTATATTGAAGCCATCTTCTTATAAGACGGTCTTTATTTAACAGTCTTAATCTGGACCATAAAATAGGCTATATATATTTAAAATTGAAATCAAGGCAAGCGAAACTAGCAGAGTGGAAGAGGAGCGCCATTCCATTCCTTGAGACAATCCAGCATGGGCTGGACGATCTTCCCCTCACAGATAGCCGTGAAAACCTTTCCGAATTCCTCGCCGGGAGACCTCACCTTTTCTCCGGTCAAAAAGCCTGTTCCCAACTCTTCCCTCACAACCTTGTACAAGGGATAAGACCTGCATTCCTTAATCCTGTTGGGGATCGCCGGATTTCCGCTTTCATACAACATTCTGGCATTTTCTACCTCTCTTGGCAGAAGGGTCTTCAGTTCTTCCTCAAAAGCTCCGATCTTTTGGAAGATTGAGATGTTTGCGTTCTTCTCGTTCTCGCCATTGGACAAGGCGTGATCAACGAGGACTAGGCGGAGTTTCTGCACCAGTGGGTAGGTGGCGCTGCAGGGGTCGTCAATGTAGGCGAACACGTGTTCGCGGTCCACCACTTTGAGTAAATCCTTCTCGCAGAATCTTGAAGGGTGGAGTTCGCCATTGGCACCGGTGGTTTGGACTTTCTTGGCCACTTGACTCACGGTGTACTTCACCGTGTTCTTCAGATTCTCTTCTAAATGCCTCAAATCAATGGCTTGGCAGAGTGCTACAAGGAAAGTGGAAGACATCAATTTCAAGATATCAACGGCCTCTGCAGTTTTCCTGGAGGAGATCAGCCCCAAAGAGTTGACATCTTGGTTGTGTTGTTCCGCGCTCTGGACATGGCTTGTGACTGGATTAGCCAAATATTGGAGCTCCGAACAGTACGAGGCCATTGCGATTTCAGCACCCTTGAATCCGTAATCCAAGCTGGGATCCCGGCCACCGGAGAGATTGGACGGGAGCCCATTGTTGTAAAAATCATTCACAAGCTCCGAGAATTGGGCAAACATCAATTTCCCGATGGATGCAATTGCCAGGCGGGAATTGTCCATGGAGACACCGATCGGAGTACCCTGGAAGTTGCCACCGTGCAAGGCCTTGTTCCTAGAAACATCGATCAGAGGGTTGTCGTTGACAGAATTAATTTCTCTTTCAATTGATTTTGTTGCGAATCGGATCACTTCAATCTGGGGGCCGAGCCATTGTGGAGATGTCCTCAGAGCATAGCGATCCTGCTTCGGTTTCTGCAGGGGATCCATTTCGTGCAATTTCTTGGCGGTTTTGACATTAGAGCTACCGTCGAGAATGTGTTCCATTATTGCCGCTGCTTCAATTTGGCCGGGATGGTGCTTCAATTTATGAGTGAGATAGTCGGTGAATTCCGGTTTTCCGTTCATTACTTCAGCGAAAATTGCAGAGAGGATTTCAGATAAGACAGCAAGTATGTTTGCTTCGTAAAGGACAATTGAGGCCAAACCAGACCCAACTGCGGTACCGTTGACTAAAGCAAGCCCTTCTTTAGGCTGCAATTCAAAAAACTCGGATTCAATTCCGGCTAACTGAAAGGCTTCCTGGGCAGTGAGTGATTCTCCACTTGGTCCCACAGACTTGGAATTAGGTCGGCCGGTGAGCAATCCGGCTATGTAGGACAGGGGAACAAGATCACCAGAGGCGGTGATTGTACCGCGGAGTGGCAAACATGGAGTGATGTTGTTGTTGAGGAATTTAGTGATTGCCTCCAGAATTTCAAATCTGATACCGGAGTATCCCTGCAGGAGGGTGTTGATCCTGACCAGCATGGCAGCTCTGGTGGTAGAGTGTGGCAGGGTGTGGCACGACTCTGCTCCATTTCCAAAGATCCCAGCATTCAAAAATCTGGAAGAAAAAACAGGCGACATTTTAAATTCATTTATCTTTTTTTTAAGTACAAAATATTTATATTTTTTAATATAAATCAGTTAATAAAAATTTTATATTTATGGCGGCAATAATATTTTATTTTATTAAAAAATTTGACAACTCAGCTAAGTAGTACCATGGAGTTGCATCTTGCATGCCATGTAGGAAATTTAGAAACAACTTTTTTTTTTTTTTGTTTTTTGGTTTCATTTTGTTAGTACCTGATCAGTTCTTTTTGCAAGGCAGCGACTTGTTTGGTCCGTCTATGAGAAGTGGCGCCAAACCCGGTAGTGACACCATAACTATCCGTCCCTTTATCCATACTGTCCATGACCCAGTCGCTGCTAGCCTTGACACCGTCACGGGCGGCCCCCGACAACTCCACCTTCACATCCAATCCTCGTTTAGCTATAGCGGCCACTTGGGATATGGTCAAGGTTCCACCACCGAGCTTCACTAACGGCTTCTGATACTCGGCCACCATACGTTTCACTTCATCCAAATGGCTTCCCCTAAGTGACTCAGCCGCACTACCCCAGTTGAGCGGGTCACGGCTGATGCAGAAAGGGTCATTTTGCAAGCGGTTGCCATTTCCTTTCTTAACCATCATATCACTTGCCATAACTTCAAAGCCAACAATAAAATTAAAAAATATGAGAAATTAAGATTGGATTGTCCGAGAGAAAAAGGAGGGATATATAGAGTGGATATGGGAATTGTGGGTAGATAGAGGTAAAGGACGGTGTTAGAAACAGAAAAGAAGAAATATTCGAAGAAAGATTTATTGTTTTCTTGAATTATATTGTATTTACAATGATCTATCTATAAGTGTTTATAAAGAGAATATTCTAAAGTATAAAGTATATAAAAAATATTTTAAGATATAAAATATCTACAATAAATGTGAATATAATTTAAATTATTATGTTCATATCTTAACAGAAAGATATTTTAAAATATAAAATATTTATAATGAGAAATGTTATTGGAACAACCATTTTGTCTCCTATTTTTGTATAATTTGACGTGTCATTAAAATGATTGATTTTTTTAATTCATATGGACCTCTGATATTGAATGCATCAACTCATTTAATGATATTTAAAAGTTGCATAAAAAGATGAGATAAAAAAATTATCCCTATGACATCAATAAATGTGAATGTAATTTAAATTATTGTGTTTATATTTTAACATAAAAGTAAAGTGTATAAAGAGTGAGGAAATGGGTCGAAGAA